CCTGTTTGCATCTGTGCTCTTCTGTCTGAGCTCGTTGCTCGACTAATGGAACATGCCATTACGCTCTGTGGGCCCCTGGAACCCTGGATCTGGCTGTTCCTGTGTGGATCACAACCCCTGACAGGGCTGTGGACTCCTGGGTTTCAGAACTGTTCCTGTTTGATCTGTATCCCTGACCTGGATCGGATTCCTGCCTGCTCACTGAGGCTGCTGCATCGGGGATACTCTGGGCGGCTCTGCAACTCAGCTCGTTTGGCAGTCCTTTGGCTGGATCCTCCCTTCCTCAGAAAGGATGGCCTGAACTGTTTAACCAGGTAAGTGACTCGCATGGATAATCATCTCCCGTCAGATGATTGTGGTCACTTACCTGTGTTTCTCCCTCCAGAGTGTCAGTGATTGGGTGTGCAAAAACTTAACATTTTAAATATAAAAGAAAACGCAAACCCTGCACAAATGGAAACAACTATCGGAAAAAAAGATATTAAAGGAAAAATAATTGAAATTCAGGAAAGCTTGCTCTTAAAAAGTAGTCTTTGAAGTTTCATTTCAGATCGCATTTTGTCAGATTTCCATTTACCAAATCTGTGCTTTGCTAGCAACAGTAATGAAACAAAATTCACTCCAAACCATCTAGGAGTGGAGGAAAAAATAAAACTCCAAAAAAGGTGAAGTAACTTCCTGCATCACCAGGTATAACTGCATCAAATCTATCCATTAGATATAAAACTATTTCAAGACCATAAACTCATTTGGTTTCCATAGTCGTACGCATCAGTTAGGTTCAGTTTCAATCAGTTCTTTGCCATTTCACCAGCCGATATAATACAAAGCTACTTGAAAGCAATCACTACTGACTTTAGCCCAGTCTGCTGCTTGGATAAAACATTCTTTTTTTGCTAAACAGAGAGCCATAAAGCAAACACTCCCTGAGCATCTTTCTTTCTTACATTTCCATGTCGGCGCATGAATTTCGCCTTGAAGAGATCATCTCAGCACTGCTGCATCAATTTTATGGGTTAATGCGAACAAAGACCTCTCAGCTCATCGGCTCACGGCACTCTGTCAAGTGATCTGAAAGAGGACTGAGAGTCCAATAATTCAGAGCTATTAAATATTAAAATCGCTCCATCACTGAGTTTTAAAAGGTATTATGGCAGCCTTCTTCTGGCAGCTTCTTATGAGCTCATAGAGGTCGGAAGGAATTTCAACATGAATCTGACTCTGTTTTTATACAGTTAGAGGCAATAAATCCTTGTTATCATCTTATTTTTAGCAGCCATGCTTGGTTTTATTTCATCCAGATGTGATCTGGGGAAGACTCTGACATCAGCGCTGGTTCTAATTAGAGGAGGTGACATCGACAGCGCCCCAACGCTCGGCTAAAAACGCATCAGATTCCTCCTTTTGAGAGAGGTTCAGGGGGCCTCCTGGAAAAGAGGTGTCAAAGGTCCAGCTGATAAATAAATTAAAGCTTTATGGCTACAATAACAGTCACTCCAAACAGGAACCTGACTCGGGCAGTGATTTGTTTGTGTTATAACGTCGCTGTCTGATCGGAAAACAATAGTTCCGCTGCTGTGGGAAAAAACTGAACGCAGGTTTCCTTTGGACGGGTTGACCATTTGCTCTTACAATAACAGCTCTGTTCAATCGTCATCCTATGTTTGCTCAGCTACCAGTCTTTATCTGGGGCAACCCTCCCCTCCCCAGCTTTCCCTGAACCCTCTGGAAGGCATTCCTCCATCGAAGCCGGACCAAAGTGAGGAAGCCTTACAATAACTCTGCCTCTATATGAAAGAATTACCTTCAGCATGAGCTGTTTACCATGGCATTATACAGGCCATGCTGGAGCTTTCAGCTTTGTTTCCCTTTTAGGTCATGGACTTTGTTGACCATGCTGGATGTAAAGCACTATAGATAATAATTGGCACCCCAGGCCTTGTAAAAAGTCCACTTTTACTATAATAAGTGGAATAATTTATTTAAAAAAATATATATTGAGATTGTTACCATACTTATTAAACTTTCTAGAACTTTCTTTTCCTCTAATAACAGCCACAGCTGTTGCTAATGCTCTCCGATTGTGATAGCGTTGAAATTTGTTGATGATCTGATACATTTTCCTAGCCTGGGCAAACTAAGGCATCATTCCTCTTATCAATGTCCAGATTAGCCTGAAACAATTAATCGGGATAAATCGATTACTGAAACAATCTTCATCTAATTTAGAAATGGATTTATCGTTACCTTGAGTACAGAGACTCTAAAATATGTCTTTAGCTGACAGAGCAACCCATTTAGAGAAGTAATTATATCAAAATGTAATAATTGAATTCAAGATAAAAAAATATTGTCTGTCAATAAGCTGTATCCAGAACTCAAGTGGAAATCTTTGAGTTTCACCTGGTTTAATTTTGTAAAAAGTCATTGTTAAAGAATATTTGACTAACCGATTATGAATTGATTGATTGAAAAAAATAATAGACAGATTAATTGATTTGCAAAATAATAGTTAGTTGCAACCCTAGTCCATCACTTGGAAGGAAGGAAGGAAGGAAGGAAGGAAGGAAGGAAGGAAGGAAGGAAGGAAGGAAGGAAGGAAGGAAGGAAGGAAGGAAGGAAGGAAGGAAGGAAGGAAGGAAGGAAGGAAGGAAGGAAGGAAGGAAAAGAGAAGAGAATAGGGGAGTTAACAAGATTTCACGAAATTATTGGGCACAAGAAAGGAAGAACAAAAAGGACATTGAAGGAAAGGCCACAGGGATGTACGAAAGGACAGATTACTAGAAAAAAGGAGAAGATAAGAAAATAAAGGACTACGGAAAGTAAGTGAATCAGGAAGGAAATATGTTTAGGATAGAATTAGGGCTGCAACAATGAATTGATAAAATCGATAAAAATCGACTTTTAAAAGCGCTGGCAACGAATTTAATCATCGATTAGTTGTGTCGCGCGATTAATGCGTCATCCGCCGCCGCCGTCCAGACTGCAAATGAAGCGCGCATGCCCCGGGATTGACGGCGCAAATTGATCACAATAATTAAAATAGCCGGCGCTTTGTAAAGTGAAAAAAGTCGTAACATGCAACTTTTGTAAAAACAAATGAACATGGCACGGAAGCACCACTGTTATGACACAGCACCTGAAAAGAAAACACGTTGGAGCCTTCAATGGCAGTGAAGAGAGCTGATCAGCAGGATGAGTAACCATGTTTGTTTCATTTTAAAGTGGGGAAACGTAAGTTAGTTTCTCAGGTAGCTCATCTGATGCTTTCCTTACCTTGTTAGTAGGTTACAGACAGTGATAAGGTTGGCTACTTATTTTACTTTTAATTTCATTTGAATTAGCTTAAGCAGCGTTTATATTTTCTTTATAAATAAATTAATTTGCAAATTATGAGGGCAAGGCTTTTAAAGTTTAAATCTTCTGGCAAAGATAAAGTAAAGAAGATCCTGCAATTTATGGAAGTAAAGCAGAATAAAATCCAGCAAGATCAGTAATATGTCAATTAATTATATGCCACATTCCCAGGTAAATATCTGTCTTTGGAGGATGTGTTTTTTAGCACCCCTAGTTCTCTCATTTTTATTCCAAATACAATTTATAATTTGAATCACAGGGCTATTTTTATCTCTATGGTTCAGTATTTTCTCAAGTAGCAACTTTAACTGCTATACTTTCCTGTCTTAAAAGGCACAAGAACTCTTCTAGTCTAAAAAAAACCTCATTTGTTGAAATGGGGGGACCTATTGTTTGAACCCCTTAGGGGCTTTAAAAAACAAAAATGCCTGTCTCTTTTTGCGCTTTATGAAACAAAGTACCCTATATTTTGTGGATGTACAGCTACATTTCTCAAGTAAGTTTGCGTAGTTTTAAAACAAACATTTATTTTTCATATAGCACCAGTACAGTTAATGAGAAACCTGTACTTGTGTGCTTGTTTGTTCTGTCTAAAATGTTTATTTTGGAATAAAGAGGTTAATATAAAAAAAATATTTTGTGTCCGATTCATCGATTAATCGAAAAAATAATCGGCCGATTCATCGCTTTTCAAAATAATCGTTAGTTGCAGCCCTAGATAGAATAGAGGAAAGGGTAGATGTAAGTAAAGAAGATTACAAGGAAGGGATAAAAGGAAAGACACAAGAAGGAAGGAAACAATGACACAAAAAAAAGGGCAATGAGAGAAAAAAGGAAGGAAGGTAGGAAGGTAAGGCACAGAGGAAGGACAAATTGTTTGCCACATATTAATTTTTCTTCTACACCAGACCCAACCTTAGTCTGATCAGACCAGGGTTTGATTTAGGAAGATGATACTTTTAAGATTGAAACAAAGTTATGCATACAGTCATGCAGTGGAGCCAGTGTCTTCCGCCATCCTCCTTATCTGTCACAGTTTCAGTTACTTTAAACTACTTTAAACTTGCAGTTCTTTTTTTCCTGCTCTACTTTAAAAAAGAAGGAAATAAGATACATATTTCAATCGAAAATTGTGGATCTTTCATCTCCGTTTATATGAAGGAAATTACCACAGACCTATTTCAAAAACAAAACTCATAATCGGTGTGCTTGGATAGCTTTCACTGTCGCCTCATTTCAGCAATTTCTCCCGCACATAACAGGTCCATTTTCCACTCAGATGTATCCTGAGACCTTTCCAGGTTGTACATAAACCTCAATCCTGGAGTAAAGCCAGGCAAGCAGTGAGAGAAGTGGGTCGGGTGGAAAAAGCTCAATAATACACTAATTCATGTGGTTCAAACTGAGACTCAAATCCCCCTCTGGAGTGCTTCTGTTCGGCGTTGAATATGACAGAGGAGAAGGAAAATCAAGTCAGGAAATGCCTCCAAAATCAAATAATAAAATAAGCTCTGCAATATTTAGCAAATGGTTAATATAGACTGCTTTGTTTGGGCTGTTATCACATCAGAGCCATTTCCTTCAAATTGACGATAATCCCAAAGAAATAAGGGTAATGAAATAATCATGGGAGCCCTGTTTGTCCTGCGTAATATCCTGCATGGAAATCCATCGGCTTCCCCAGCTGTTGGAGCCAGATGGATGTTGGGTTGCCGTTCGATAGACCCTCTGGCTCCACTGCACAAAGCCCCCCCTGCAGGAGACCAGTCCAGCCACACACAAAGGTCGATCGTCAACTGTTGACACAACTGGCTCATTCAGACTATTTCACCTGAGGCTTCGGCCTTCCTCATAAAACCCCCAACCTGCGGTCTGACATAAAGCGACAGCGAAGAGAATCCATGAAAACTGCTGAGCGACACAAGCAAGATATGGTATAGACTCCCTATATATTTTCCATTCAACTTTTAAACACATTTGGAACTTGTGATTGTATATTTCTCACATTTGCACCACATGTTAAGTTTTCTTTTCAGTGTGAATATCATTAGATCATGCTCTGTGTACTACCCGTTTGACATTGATCGAAAAGACAAAGCATTTGTGTTTATATTTTACTGTGTAGTCTCATACAATTCTGTTTTTTATGTAAAATCTTGCGAAGTGTTAATTCTACACCTAAGGAGTTAAATTCAACACTTTTAAAGTTACTATGTTGGTTCTCAATTAACCGAGTTAAAATTACCCTTTCAAAACCGTTGAACAATCAAGCCAGAGTAGAAACAACAGTGTTAATATTTGGAATTCAACTCTAATAACAGTTGAATTTATGTATGTCTAAAATAAACTGGAATTAACTCTTAACACCATCATCAGTCAATATAGAGGAAAAATAAACGGTTATTCTAACTGGTTTCCCTCTGGTTGTGGGAAACATTTCTGCATTCTACACCACAACTCTAAAGTCCATGGATGTCCTCAGTGCACGCATTTTAGGAGATAAGAGTTCACAGATACTTTGGAATTCTGGCAGAAACTGATTTTAAAATCAACACTTGACAGAGTTGTTTGAACATAACTCAGCAGATTAAAAATGTTTTGGAGGAAATAAATTTTGCATAGTTTGATCAGACTAAACAATTGTTGAATTGACACTGCATATTAAAGACTGTCACGATTGGTTATGGTTAGTTAACCCAAAAGCAGAGGCAAGGAGGCAGAGGTGAATTTCTTGTGGATTTAATGATTAGTTAACTGAGAACAAAGGCAGGTAATCCAAAAATCCAAATATGAAAACAAAGTCCAAAAACAAACAGGAAACCAGGAATCCAATATCCAAAAGTGAAAACAAAGTCCAAACTAACAGGAAACCAGGAGTCCAAAAGTCAAGACGAACAAGAAACCATGGAGACATCAGGGGGATCGCTATCACAAGTAGGAAGGCTCAGAGAGATGGAGTTGGAGGAAGTTTGACGAGGACCCAGCAAAGAAGAACAGAACAGAGACTGAAACAAAGCGAGGGCTTATGAGCAGACTGGGAGCAGGTGTGCATAGAGCAGGAAAGGAAAAGAACTAGGGAAAAAGGAGAACACAAGAGGGCAGCAGAGGGCAACAAATAAAAACCTGGCAAACTCAAAATAACTAGAAAACACAACAAAATAAGAATTAAACCACTAAGATTATTAAACATGGAGCAAAGTAAAACTGAATACTCAAAAGAAAATCATAACAGAGCCAAGAATGAAACAGTAACTAAGAATTAACCAAAGAACACAACAAAGATAAAAATTAAACCATGAAAACTAGAAAACAAGGAGTAAAGCGAAACTGAACACTCAAAAGAAACCATAACAGAACCAAGACTGAGACAGTAAACTAAGAAAAAAAAAACAAAGAAGACAACAAAATAAAACTTAAACCATAAAAAACTAGAAAACAAGGAGCAAAGCAAAACTGAAAATCCAAAAGAAAAACATAGGAGAACCAGAACTCTAACCCACAATGGGGAAACACTGCAAAAATGAACACTTTAGATTTTTTTCTGTGTATGCATTTTTCAAACTCCAAAAATTGAATAAGGATTTTTTTTTAATTATTATTAAACACTGACACCATTCTAAAATGTCAACCAGTTTTTCAGTTAGATTTATAATTTCCCTTAAGTAAAAATTCGGTGAATTTCTCATGATATTTTCACGCGTCAAACCCACGTATCACATGTGATAATAACGTGATTCAGATGTAAAAGCACATGTATATGTGTGGATTTCGAAAGTTTTTTGTTAAAAGCGTGTTTTTCTCATGTGATACAAACGTGCTTAAATGTGAATCACATGCAAACATTTAAACAATTACATGTGGATACATTAGTCACAGCTGAATCAAATGTGATACAGTTTTTACTCTTGATTCCCATTTTAGGGAAATCATGGGAATCATGTATAAAAATCATGGCTTGATGATTACAAATGTGAAGACAGGTAAATCACATGCAAAATACATGTTTGTATGCATAATACTTATTTAAAGCACATGTGATTTACATGTGAAAACGTGATTATGCATGTGCTTTTATTTGTTAAACTAACATGTGGTAGAAAGTTCCTGGGATTTTTCATAGGATGCGAATGGTTCATATGAGCAGTTCATACATAGAAAGACATAAATATTATAGGGTGACTCAGGTGTAGAAGGTTATATTTATTTTCTGAATAAAGGAACTTAATTTAATCATATGTGATGAGTGAGAATTTAATTTTTTTTTTTTTTTTTTTTTTTTAACTTTTTTTTTTAAAAACTTTTCACAACAAAAGAACATTCCCTGAGCCAAGAGTAATTAAATCAATAACAGAAATACTGATGCCACATATACAATATTTCAACATAAATGCAGCACGATAAACCAGGTCACCTGAGACTTTGAATACCTTACAAGAGAGAACTGCACGTATACATACACACAAACCCACACCCCTCCCCCTCCCCTCCAGGGTGCTTACCCACAGGCCAAAAATACAACATACAGTAAACGAACAGCAAAAAATTATATATATAATATATACCCACCTATGAGTATACATACACACACGTATTCAACTATATACCTTAGTAGTACCGATGACGGAGCAGATTGCGATCCATTAGAATCACTAGAGCCCAAAATCACACACCCAAATACAATTTCACCAAATGCCATCTTTGATTGAACTTGTCCACTTTGAGTTGTAAACCAGCGGTAATTTTTTCCATCATATACATTTGTTTTACCCGATTCTTCCACTCTGCTATAGATGGTGACGAAACTTGTCTCCAGTTTGCCGTTATAGTTTTTTTAGCTACCAATAGTAAAATGTGCAAAATATACTTTTGGTCTTCATTAAAACAGTCTGGTATTATATTCAGTAAATAAAACAAAGCATTTGAAGGTATTTCTCTGTTTATAATTGTCTCTATTTCATCTCTAATCCCCTTCCAGTACTGACTGATAACCGGACAGTCCCACAGAATGTGCGTATGGTCACCAATCTTCCCACATTGTCTCCAACATAGGGCCGCTGAAGGATTTTTGACAAATCTAGAAATTAAAAATGGGGTGCGAAAAAATCTTATTAAAATTTTCCAACTGAATTCTCTCCACATTTGGCTGTTGGTTCCTTTGTGACTGCCCTCGCACAATTTGTCCCATTGTTCGTCCTCTATTATAGAATTGGATTCTAATTCCCAGTTTTCTTTTACATTATAGGTATTATGATAATTATTAGATGAGATAATTTTATACAAATGTGAGACATGTTTTCGGGTTGGAAAGGTCTTTTCTCCAATAGTAATAAAATATTGTTCTATATCATTTGGGTTTCTATTAAGTCTATTACGTTCCTTGTGACTAGTAATGTAGTGCCTAATTTGCAGATATCTATATAAATCATTTGCAGGGAGATCAAACTGTTCCTGAAGTTGTGCGAAGGACTTTAAGTCAGCCCCATAGAATAATTGGTTTAATATTTTAAGACCTTTAGCTGCCCATCTCTTAAAGCCTTGGTCCCATGTGGAAGGCGGAAAGTCTATATTACCCACAATAGGCATAGCTCTGGAGACTGACCCTGTATCTCTAAGCATCTTTTTAACCTCTGTCCATATTTTTAAAGTGTGTTTGGTCCATTCATTTCCAATTTTCATTTTATTAACAGTTCTGATATCTAGGAAGGGAAGAGTAGATAATTGTATACCTTTAGTTTCACCCCGTTCTATTTGAAGCCATTTTGCTTCCTCATCCCCTCCAATCCAAGTCACAATGGCTGATAACTGCGCTGCCCAATAATACCATTTTAAATTGGGTAGAGCTAAACCACCCCTGTTTTTGGGTAAGTGAAGTGTTTTAAGTCTAATTCTTGGTCTTTTTTGTTGCCAAATAAATTGAGATATTAATTTGCTGAGTATGTTAAATGTTGAAACTGGGACTCTTACTGGCAAAGATTGGAACAAGAACAGAAGATGAGGAAGCAGATTCATTCTAACAGTTTCCACTCTGCCATATAGGGACAAAGGTAGGACCTCCCATCTGGACAGGTCAATTTTGATTTTCTTTATCAATTTGTTGTAATTAGCATCGAACAGTTGTGAAGGTTTGGGTGTAAGAATTATCCCTAAATACCTGAAACCCTTTTCTGACCAATTAAAAATATCACTAAGTTGGCCTGGCCGTTGTCCCGACGTCATTAATGCTTCTGATTTACTTTGGTTAATTTTGTATCCAGATATGTCACCATATTCCTTTAAGCAATGCATGAGTCTAGGGACTGAAGTAAGAGGGTGTCTTATAAATAATAAAATATCATCAGCGAAGAGGGCAATTTTATGAATTGCCCCCTCTCCATCCCTGATTCCTTGTATGTGATCGTCTCGACGTATGGCCTCTGCCAAAGGTTCGATACTCAGGGCGAACAAAATAGGGGACAAGGAATCGCCCTGCCGCACCCCTCGCTCCACATTGAAAAACTCTGAACAACACCCATTAACTCTAACCCTGGATTTAGAATTTTTATAAAATAACATAACCCAACTAACGAATGTTTCACCAAAGCCCATCTCAATTAGTGTATGTTTAAGAAATTGCCAATCAACACGGTCGAACGCTTTTTCGGCGTCTAAACTAAGAAGCATGGATGGTTGGGGATCTTTTGTCATCAAGGATTGTAAATTTAGAGCTCTTCTTACGTTATTAGATCCCTGTCGACCCAGGATAAACCCAGTTTGATCTGGATTAATTAGTTTTTTTATATACTTTTGGATTCGAGTGGATATAATTGATGTCAGTATTTTATAGTCTACGCAAAGAAGGCTAATCGGACGGTAACTTGCACAATGCAGTGGATCTTTTCCCTCCTTGTGTAGAACCGTGATGATCGCTTCAGACCAGGACTCTGGAGGGTTCCCT